TACAAAAAAAAAAAAATCAATGGTAATAATAATAATAATAATAATAATAACTTTTTTCTTGATATTAGTCTTTAGTTCCATTTAGTAACTTTGTAAAATTAAAAAGAAACAAAAGTGACAAAACAATAAAAAAAAAAAAAAACTTTGAGATTTGGCACCTTTTAATACATCAAATTCCCACCTCCCCTTACCCCCCACCCCCACCCCCCACCCTCGTACCCTTTATCATATTTTGGCAAGTTTAGATGTCAAACTCAATTCTGTCACATTTAATACATTAATTAAGGGTTAATAATTTTTTTTATTTCATTGAAAAAAAAAAAAGAAAAAAAATGTTTGCATTAATATGCTAAATGCAATTATTGGTCAAGTGTTATTCTGGTTATTTTAATAAAAAAAAAAAAAACTAAATCGGTTTTGTTTCAAGTGCAAAATACTATGTTACACACATTTACGTAAACAAAATATTATTATTATTATTATTATTTCTGTCACTTTCATTTTTCCTCTTTGAGATTAACAAATAAGTAATATATAATTAAACATTTAAATCGAATATAGTAAATGATGATATTTAAATTGTCTTATGATTTAAAATGATTTTTGAGGTATTTCATCATGCTGAAGGCCCTGAATCTTTTGATTCCTATTACTTTGAACAAATCATTGTCGCAAATGGCGTACTGTTTATTCTCAGGATCCTAATTAAAAAAAAAAATTAATCAAGTTTAATTATATTATTATTATTATTAATGTTGTTGTAAAGAAAAGAAAAAACGCTCACATATAGATCTCTTTCCTTTATTATTTCCCAAATTTTCTTAACAACTTCATGCCTAGGCATACTGTCCCTTCCAACTAGTTTTGCCAATTCTGGACTCAAATTACACGGTTTGGTATATCCACTTTTAGCTCCACCCCTTTTCTAAAAAAAAAAAAAAAAAAATTATTTTACCATGTGAAACGTTCATTCCTTAATGTAATTTATTATGATGGTCGATACTCACTGCACCACCTCCTCCTTTTTTTTTATTTTTACCCCAGTCTTCATCTGAATCATTATCGGATCCCTTTTTTTTTTTCTTACCAGCTCCCTTTTTCTGAGTTGTTTTTGCTTTTTTTTTTGGTCCATATTCTTCTTCGTCATCCTTAAACACAAAAAAAAATGTACTCGATTTTACAAAAACAATTGACAAATTCATTTCATTCAACTACTAACATCATCGGATGCTTCTTCACTATCACTCCCTTTATTATTTTTATGCGGTCTTTTCTTTCTGTCTTTGTGTTTATCTTTTTCAGCTTCTTCATCATCATAGTCTTCATCGTCATCATCATCTCCACCATTTTCTTCTTCACCATCATCTTCCTAAAAATTAAATAATTAATACATAAATCATTCTTGTTTTTTTTTTGCAAATCGATAATCATTTAAAAAAATAATCATTACATCTTCATTTTCGCTTTCAGTTTTTTTCGATTTTTTATTTCCAGATGTTGTTTCTTTTAAAAATTCCATAACTAAATCATCGACAACTTTTTTCTGATCTGTTAAATCCACTTCTAACTTTTCTTCGAGTTGTTGTCGAACTTTTTTAGCTGACATCTTAGTGAGATCAGCATTTTTTAAAATAGCTAAATGAAAAAAAAAATTTTATATGTGGATTAAATAAGTAATAATATAAATTTATATAATTAAAAATTTCAGGTATAAAACAAAAAGGAATATGAATTTAATATATAAAATTATTTTTTTTGGGAAGGGGGAGGGGGGGATAATATATATATTTTAAAATGTAAACAAAATTAACGGATAGCAGCCATTATTATTATATCTACTTCACGCTTATTATGGAACATATAAATTCATAAAGCGTTTATTTAAGATATTTAAATAAAATTTCATATTAAATAAACAATCATAACGATTAATAATAGAAATGGATAAGATTTTCTTATTAACGATCGATTAATAATAAAAAATTAAAAGAAGGGGAAAAAAAAAAAAAATTTTTCTCATAGAAGCGACGAGAAAGCGTCATCATCAAATCGAATCTATTCAAATCGTTTTTTTTTTTTTTTTTTTTTTTTTAATCAAAACTAAATTTAAAATTATAGGTTGTTAACGGGATGAATGAGGTTATAAATATGAAAAAAAAATAATTACCGTTAATTTTTACACGAAAATAATAATTAAACAAATTTATTTTCAATGAATTTATCACTTACCGGTAATTTCCTTACGGAGTTTGTCTTTAGGAACGTCTGCCATTTTTCTAATGGGGGAAGAGTAGTAAATTTACAGTTTTGCCAACTTAAAAAGCTTCATTTTTTTTTTTTTTTTTTTTGTAACGACATTTTTGTTTGACTCGATTTGAATTGTGAAAAAATGATTTTTTTTCTTATTTATCGTTAAATAATTGTTCTATAAGGGTTTTTATTTTATTTCAGGATAATTTCTTAACGAAGTAAATTGGATAATAATGTGTTAATAATATTTAATTAATAAAAAATAGTGAGTTTAATAAAAAAGTTGTGATTATATTTGTGTGTGTGTGTGTGTGTCAGTTTTAAGAATTTTTTGTATTCTCGCGGCGGGAAAGTGATCGTTTACACAATAATATTGTTATATTCTTATTTATAAGTGAAAATTAAGTGTTTAATCTTTAAATAATAGTTTTTATTAATAAAAAAAAAAGTTAAAAAGTGTAAAAGTGATCGTTAAAGTTTTAATAAAGTGAATAATTTTAAAGTTTTATGTTAAAAGTGTTTAAAACTCAACACACAGAGGATAAAATTTCACAAGGTAAATAAATAACAATTTATTAATTATTTCATCGAACGTTATTATTATTATTATTATTAATGTTTTTTTCCCATTTATTCATAAAACGTAAGTTTTTTTTTCTCGAAAATATCATCATTCGATAATTATTGGTTAAATATGAGAAAAACATTTTTTTTGTAAAATTATATCATACCTGGAAGTCTTTAATAGCCTTCTTAGCTCAGTGGTAGAGCACTGGTCTCGTAAACCAGGGGTCGTGAGTTCAAACCTCACAGGAGGCAGGTTTTTTTTTTTTTTTTTTTTTAAATAATTAATAAATTTTTTTTTTTTTAACGTTTTTTATAACCGAAAATAATAATAATAATGATAATAAAAATACGCATTTAATTCACATTTTAATTACCGTCGTAAAAAATATATTACAATCGAGAAAAAAAATCATTATATCATTATTATTTTATAAACAATTATTTAAAAAAAAAAAAAAATTTTAATTACGTTAATTATAATACGTTATTTATCTTTTTAAGAAGGTTAAATTTAACAGACGAAACATCCTTGAACTTTAACAAAATGGAGGGGGGAGGGGGAAGGAGGGAAATGCCAATTTAAATTTTCTTTAAAAAAATTTTTTTTTTTTTGCATTCAAACCTTTTCCTTAACAAAAAAAAAGGAATTTTTAAATCGTTTCTCGAAGGAAATAATAATAATAATAATAATAATAATAATAATAATAATAATAATAATAATAATAATAATAATAATAATAATAATAATAATAATAATAATAAAGGTTAAAATCAAATAAAATTAATTAATTAAATCTCGTTAGAGATCGATTACTCGATTGTTTCGATAAAATTTTTTTTTTTGAAAAATTAATTTTTTCGTTGTTGTCGTTGTCGTTGTTGTTTACAAATCCGAAAAAAGTTTTTATAAAATCCGAAAGATGGCAGTGCACTCAATTTCGCAATCAATTTTTCATTATTATTATTATTAACATTTTTTTAATAATAACTTATTAATATTTTATTTTATTATTTAAATAAATAATTTTTATTTTACAATTACTCAAAAATATCTCATTATTATTATTATTATTATTTATTTATTTATTTTAAAGATAACATTTAATGTCAAAGCTCATAACTTTCAAGTAATAATATATGAATCGATCACACACACACACACACACAACTAATGAATGAATTTTTTTTTTTTAATTTTAACAATTTTTAAGCAGACGAAATTTTACAAATAATAATAATAATAATAATTGAGATAAATGTTGAAGGATATTTAAAAAAATTGTTGTCGTTGTTTAAGAAAAGAAAAAAGAAATAGTTTTGAAAAAGTGTTAGAAATAATGAACAATGAGTAATAAAACAATTGAATTTTATTAAAATAAATAAATTCTCACGGGTATATATATATATAAATAATATAAATAAATTGATTATTCGTCCTAGATAAGAATAAAATAAATAAATAAATAGAATAAGGACAGTAAGGTTGTGCATTAACAAACTCTAACAACAACAACAACAATCGATTTGTCACTGCGTTTGTTTTCATCAATTTTTTATTTTTTTTAAATATCCAGGGAGGAGCAGGGGGTGAAAAATTTAGTTTTTGTATAATATTTAATAATTCCCCCATACCCCGTTTCCCCTCCCTCTCTCTCTCCCCATCCCCTCCAACCCGACCTTGTTTGACTAACCTGATTTAAAACATACCGAAAATCATTTTCATTTCAGTACAAAAAAAAAAAAAAAATAGAAAATTTAAAAAGGGTAATGACACGCGGTGGTTAAATAATAATAATAATAATAATAAAAATAATAATAATAATAAAGAAAATAAAAGCAATTAAGATTTTAAACGGTTTATAAGATTAGATTGAGTTTAATATTTTTTAAAATTATTGCCATTTTTAACGAGTCATTAATTGTGTTATATTGATTATTATTATTATTATTATTATTATTATTATTATTTTTCTTATATGGAGTAAACAAAATTCGTAACTAATTATACGCCTATGTAAAAAAAAAAAAAATTGATAAAGAACATGATGGATTTATATATATATATATATTATTATTATTTCCTGGATATGCCAATTTTAACAATCACCCCCTCTTCCCTTTCCCCTTTCCCCACCTCAGTTAAAAATCCTTTTGTTGTTGTTGTTGTGCAATAAAAGGGATTTTATTTATGTAACAATAATAATAATAATAATAATTTTTAATGTATTTTCAATCACGTATGAATAGAATATACTTTAGGTATACATATATTTCTCGATGGGTTTTTGTATTTTAAAAATAAATACATAAGAAAAAAACTTTTACTTTATATAAATAATGATAATGATAATAAGAGTAATTGTAAAATTTTTTTTTTAAAGGATTAATGTATTACCTTATAAAGTATTGTTATTTTTTTTTGTTTTAAATCGGTAAAAATAATTTCGATCGTCCGATAAAAAAAAAAAAAAAATGACTCTTTTGGAATTTAAAGGTGTGGTTTTTTGTTAAAATAATCGTTTAAAAACATCAAAGAGATTAATCTCTCTCTCTCTCTCTCTCTCTCTCTCTCTCGTAAAAAAAAACTTGCATCTTATGTGTGTGTGTAAAGAAGATGTATGTGGTAACGCCCTAAAAAATTAAAAGAAGAAGAAAAAAAATTTAAATTTTTTTTTTTTTAGCGGGTTAAAAAAAAAAAAGAAATTTTTTATAATGAGGAATAAATAAAATAAAAAAGTGTGTGTGTGTGTTGGGGTGTCTAATGTATAAAAATTGGCACATTAAACAAATAAACAATGGGTGATAGTTATCATTATTATTATTATTATTATTGTAATAGTAAACAAAATCATTGAAAAAAGGGTTTGTCAAATGGGTAGCGTTAAATTTATTATTATTATTATTATTTTTGAGGATTTTTAATTTTTTTTTTTGGTTGGTTGGTTGGTTGGTACCACCTTGTTAAAAGGAAAAAGTTTGTTCGAAAATTATTATTATTATTATTATTATTATTATTATTATTATTATTATAATTATTATTATTATTATTATTATTATTATTATTATTATTAGGGTAATGTAATAAAAAGAAAGAAAGACTTTTTATTAGAAAAAAAAAATTGATTTCGATCGATATTGAAATTTCATTCCAAAAAAAAAAAAAAATTTTTCCTTTTCGTTTCCCAGGAAAAAAAGGAGGAGGGGAGGGGGGAAGGAAATTTTTTTTTTAATTAATAAAAAAATAATAATAATAATAAGAAAGAAAAAAAATTTATATATATAGCGTAAAATTAAATTTCTCGATGAAAAAAAAAAGAAAAAAAGAAAAAAAGTAACTTGATGAATGCTCCCACCCCAAAGATCTCATCCCCCTACTTTTTGTGATTTCTTTTTACCCCATTTTAACCTCCACCTTTTCCCAAGTAAAAAAAATTCTTCTTTTTTCCACCCACCTATTCTTCTCCCTCCCCAACTTTTTCCCTTTCGCGATCTTATGACGTATAACAAAAATTTTCTACAAATTATTTTAATTATTAATAATGATAATATTTATATGTATATACGAATTTGTGTGTGTGCGTGCGCGTTTTGCAATAGATTGTTTTGCTAATTAAGAAAATCGAGATTAATTTATTATTATTATTATTATTATTATTATTGAAAAAAAAAAAAAATTTTGTAACGAATTTTAATTTTAATTTTTTTTTTTTTATTTATTTCGTCACGGTCTGTATGAAATCATTCAATGGAATAGTTTTTTTTTTTTTTTTTTTTTTTTTTTAATAATAAAAATATACGTTCATTGATTTGTGATAATAAATGTTCCATAATAACAACTGATAGGAGTTGAATTTAAAATTTACGGTGATAACAGGATAATGATAACAAAAAAAAAAAAAATTAAATTTCTTTTTATTATTATTATTATTGACGGAGTCGTTTTTTTTTTTTTTTTTTTTTTCGTTTACGTTTAAAAGTTTAAACGCCCGCTAAAAGAAAATTTAAGTTACTTTATTAATAATAATAATAATAAGCAAACGAATAAATTGAAAAAAAAAGGGGGGGGGAAGAAAACCCATCGGAAAAACGTATCAATCAAATTTAAAATGTTTAAACGTGGAACTAATTTTGGCGTCAGATTGGTGAGACTGAGCGACAACTGAAATTCATTTCCACGACTAATCAACCTTACATTAAAGTAAAGAATGAATAAAAAAAAAAAAGGCGCCAAATTTAAATTTAAATAATAAACTACGTTGCGTTTTATTTTATAAAAAAAAAAAAAATTCG